ATACATATTGTTATCTGGAGACAAAGTTACCTCTGTGCTGATCATAGTCCATCAAGCATAGGCCTTAGATCTTAGCTTTATTAGAGGTGGTGCATTTGCCAGCCTAGCTAGTAGTAGTCTGTTGCAATAGCCAATGAATAGGAGGAACCTATGGTGTAATTTTAGAAAATCAAAGAGCCGATATGGTGCCAAAACCACATTGTTTTTAATTCCCTCTATAGTGTGGGAAGCCATGCTGGCTTTGTCAGGCTTTGCCACGTCAGCTTGTTTACTGCTTTTGTATCCTAATCGTCTGCACATGAGCATATGACATTATCCTAATATGGCTGCTCACCTATCCCGATTGGGTGATGCATAATCATCCGATGAGACCTAAGGCAATCAGACGACACTGCACGTCCACATCATCACAAGTATATAAGCTTGGCACTCCGTAGGGTCTGGGTCCTTCTCTTTTTCAGTCCTTCTCTCTTTCAGTCCTTCTCTCTTTCAGCTTGGAGCTCCCTATAAAGTGTGCTTGAGAAGAATCCTGTTGTTGTCGTTCTTCCTGCTGGTGGGACGGGCGCAACACTATAGAATTTTATCTCTTTCTCAATTTACTCTTTAAAGGAAATTTACTAAGGTTTACACAGAAATTATAAACAAGCACTTGATAATGTACCTGAAATCAGAAAACCTCTGTGGTGGTTTAAATGAGATGTCCCCCATAGGCATTTGTATATTTAGTCCTAGTTTGTGGCACTGTTTAGGTAGGTTTATGAAGCACCCCATTCCATAGTAAGTATGTCACTAGGGGTATGTTTTGATGTTTCAAAAGATATGCACTAATTATTCCCAGTTTGCTTTCTCTGCTTTGTGCTTACAGTTCAAGATGTGACTTCTCAACTTGCTGCTCCAGCCACCATGACTATTGCCATGTATGCCATCTGTGATAATGATGCTTATTTATCCTTCTGGAACCATAAGCCAAAATAAACCCTTCCTTCTGTAAGTTACCTTGATCATGATACTTCATTACAGTAATAGAAAATTAGATAATACAACCTCCTCTGCCTTTCCCAATCTATTCAGTGAAAAATCATTAATGAATTACATGAGTCTGGCCATCATGGCTAATACTGAATGTAGCAAATTTGTAAACAAGTGTTTGGCAGCAAAAGACTCTGGAAGACCTGTGATAGCTATTCTTAGTTGTCAACTTGATTACATCTGGAATTAACTAAAATCCAAAAATAGAGGGGAACACCTGTGAAGGATTTTTGCTTAATTTGAAGTGGAAAGTTCCACTTCTGATCTGGACTGTGGAGGCAGAAAAGATACACCTTTGATCCAGATCTTGAAGTGTGAAGACACACCTTTAATCTGGGCCATGCTTTCTACTAGAAGCCTATATAAGGACATGGAAGAAGGAAGCTTTTTCTCTTTGCCTGTTTGCTCTCACCCTCACTAGCAAGACCATTTTTTTCACTGGCATTACAGCCTACTCCTTTGGGATTCTAGCATATACTAAAGGCCATCTGAAATATCCAGCCTCATGAACTGAGCATAAGATCAGACTGTAGGTAGGCTTGTAAGGAATTTTCTTAATTAGTAATTGATGGGGGAAAGGAACAACCCATTGTGGGTGGAGCCACCTCTGAACTGATGGTCCTGAATTCTATAATAAAGCAGGCTGAGTAAGCCATGAGGAACAAGCCATCCATGTCCTCTGCATCAGCTCCTGCTTCCAGGTTCCTGCCCTGTTTTGAGTTCCTGTTCTGGTTTCCTTTGATGATGGACATCAATGTGGAATTGTAATCCAAATAAATCCTCTCCTCCCCAAGTTTCTTTGGCCATGATGTTTCATCACAGCAATAGTACCCCTAAGACAAATACTATCTAAACCTGCTTTCAGGAACCCTAACCTTGTGAGATTGTCATGCAGCAAGAAGCTATGCAATAAAGAATAAGAACATACCATTGCCTATAGCATCAATCAAAATGGACCAATTAATCTCTTGAACAAGATGAAGATTCTCAGGGAAAGCTGTTTGTCCTAGAGACTTTAGGAACAGTATAAAGTCTGCCTAAAATAGATGTTGCAATGGTCCATTCTCACTTCTTCAAAGTGTCTTTCTCTTTACTCTGAAATGAATTCTTTCTTCTACACCATGCTCTGTATGTCTTGTCTGAAGACTGTGTGTATGAGTGTTTTGTATGCATATGTATGTATGTGTACTATCTGAGTGTCTTGTACCCAGGAAGTTCAGAAGAGTGCAACGGATCCTTCTGAACTGGAGTTACAGATAGTTGTAAGTTGTCATGTGGGTTATAGAAACAAAACCTATGTCCCTTTCAAGAACAGCAACTGCTCTTAACCACTGAGCCATCTCTCCAGATCCTTGTTTCAATTCATTTGACAAAAACCACAGAGCCACAGGGAAGCTAGAACAAGATCCTGGTGACATTGGGACTTTTTTCTGTGTTAAAACCTCAATTTTGCATCACACAAAGGAGGGTGCAGGAGAGGAAAAGCAAAGAAAGAAAGCTAATAGAGAGCTGTATTGCCTTGTATGCCCCTACCTTAAATGTCAGTGTCCACTCTGCTGTTTGTAAGTGGCCAAGATCATGACTGTCTAGTCTTGCCCAACTTCTAGAAGACACACAGTCTTCACCATTCAGTGCAGAGTGGCTAGATTCTAGAAGAGTGAGCAGGTCAGGAAATATTTCTGTGGCTATTTATCAAGAATTATTAAAAATAGGTTCTATAAATTGGGAGAAACAGAAGAAGAAAATCAAGAGTCTCAAAAATGCTAGCTCTCAGAATCAGGAACACATTGAGGTTGGGACTAGCACACTAAATAGAGAAAAGGATCCCTGGAGATTTGATAAAGCCCTATTAGTGCCCACCATAACCTACTACAATGTAAGTACCTTCATGAAAGATAGCATTAGTTGTCTTCTAATGTATCTTCAGTGCCTTCAAGAGTGCCTGTTATGATTTACATGACCCCACCTGGATAGCATAGCCCTACATGAGGAATGGGGTGGGGGGATGGGAGGGGAGGGTGGTTGGGATGCATGTGAGGGGGGAGAGAGGATAAGAGGGAGGGAGAGAGGGAGGGAGGGAGGGAGGGAAGGAGGGAGGGAAGGAGGGAGAGGGAACTGGGATCGACATGTAAAATAAAATAAAAAAAAGAGTGACTGTCACATAGTAGGTAGTCACTAAAATTTGTTGATTGAATGGGACTGTCAATTGAAAAGAACATTTTTAATGTCTTGCTGCTTAATGTCTTTTACAACTAAGGCAATAAATGTTTCCAGTATCTTATAGTTGTTTTACAGATGTGTATCTTACAGGAACTTGCTAATGCCCCAAAAGTCTTCTTCCCTCCTACATGGTAACTGCTTACTTATTGCAGGGGTGGTTTTTCAAGAAAGGATTTCTCTTTGTGGCCTTGGAGTTTATCCTGGAACTTGCTTTGTTGTGGCATACTTTATATGCAACAAATGCACAATTATCAGATATATAGACTGATCAGTTTTCTATGTGTATACACATCCATGTGAACACCACCAATACTGAGAATCAGAATATTTCCTTCATTCCAGAAACTTCTTTATTTCTTTTTCCAATCAATAATAGTTTCTCCATGAGCTGAAGAAATAGGTCATACTTTGAGTTTTTACTACTCTTCCAGAAAACCTGAGTTCAGTTCCCAGCACATATATTATATTGTGTGTCTCACAACTGCCTGTAACTTCAGGTTCAAGGAATCTGACAACCCTCTTTTGGCTTCCACAAACACCTGTACATAGAAACAAATATTTTTTTTTAAAAAAAAAAAAACAGTTTCTCCATACAGTTAACCACTATTCTGACTTCCTTCACTGAAGAGTATGGAAATGAACCTAAAATATCATATTTTAGAACAAAATAATTAAACTATTTTGAAATGTAAGGACAAACATTGAAACAATTATAAAATTCAACATAAATACTGGTTGTCTTGTTTCACACATTGACAAACACTGGTTAAAACTGATGGAAATAGAAACAGTGGGTAGTAGATGCAAACCAGACTGAACAAAGAAGAAGGAACATGTGAAATTGATCACTCCTTTCCCTTTGCCATCCACCTGAATGTGGGGTTTGTGTGTGGAGAATTGAGAAAGTCCCATTTTGCCATCCCATGATGGGGCCCCTTACATTGGGAAAGGCATCCTATCCCAGTGGCTCTCCAGCATATCCTATGACATAAATGAATCTAGGGTTCTTTTCAAAATACTTTTAAATTTTAGTTAATTTTTATTTAAACTAAAAAAACTTATTTCATATACTAATTCCAGTTCCCTCTCCCTCCTATCCTCCCATTCTCCTCATCAAACCCCATCCACTCCTCAGGGAGGGTGAGGCCTTCCATGGGGAATCATCAAAGTCTGTCACATCATTTGGGAGAGGACCTAGGCCCTCCCCTGTGTGTCTTGGCTGAGAGAGTATGCTGGAGAGGATGTGGAGAAAGGGGAACACTCCTCCATTGCTAGTGGGAGTGCAAACTTGTACAACCAATGTGGAAATCAATACTTGCAATTTTTCTTTGTTCTCTATGCATATGTGTGTGATTTTTGTGTGTGAGCATGGAGACTCTCTTGTCTCTGCCTCGCATTTCCCCTCTGTGGAATTATGAACAATCTATACTGTGCCCAACTTTACATATATTCTGAAGATTCCAACTCAGGTCCACACACTTGCAAAACAAGCACTTTTCTACTGAGCCCTCATCACAGCTATGAATCTAGATTTTGATGAAGAAAAAAAAATGTCAAGATTTGACTGAATAGAATAATTTGTGACAGCCATCTACTCAACTATTTGCACTCAAGTAACATAGGAATGTCATTGCACCTGAGTACGATTAACTTTGTCATACTTGTAAACTATAATGAAGTCTTTACTCAAATACTCAGCTTTTCAAACATGTTCCTTCAATTAAAATTATAAGAGAGAAATTCAGTCACAATTCCTCCTTATAAAACTTTTATTAATGCCAGAAATGAAATAATAAAAGTGAAATAAAATTGAAAAATCAGTGCAATTGTATGTACAGAGATACTATGAACAGGGCAGGGGTGGGCAGTTAAGGAGATCATTAAAAAGAGGAATGTTTGTGGGGCTTCTTAAGTTTGGACACTGAACTGCAGGCCATGATGATTCAACTGATTCCAACTCTATTTTTGTGCCTTTATAGGCAGGCTGTGTGTTTCTCAGACCTTCTTCTTCCCTAAGAAAAGCTTAACTCCTCACCGGTCCTGGGTTTGCGGCTTTCCCAACTTGCAGGCTGAAGGCCTCCTATTCCCCATCCTGCACTGGAAATAAAATAAAAAAGGAGCTACAGAAAACAGAGTGAAATTAATGACAGCATTGTCCTATTAAATTGGTTCCTAGAGTTCTCAGGAAGGTTTCCACTGCTAAGTGTACAGCCTAGTCATGTGCATTTAACTCAAAATTGCCTCTACTATCATTCCTGTAGCAAACACCAGGCCCTAGGTTAGAAATACAGCCCTCTCATTATATATATATATATATATATATATATATATATATATACATTTATATATATATATGTATATATATATACATATACATACATACATACATACATACATACATACATACATACATATATATATGCTGTCTCCACTAAAAACAAGATTTAGATGCCATCACTTTGTCTCAGTGGTACCTTTCTTAGGAGCATTTGCTGTTTCCAGGTTACAGATTCCTTGTACTTTGTTTCGCTATGCTCTTATGCAGCCATCTTTCACAGTTTTATCAAAGTAGGACATAATTGTTTACATACTGGAAGTGATGTTATCTTTTACCTTGTAAAAGACTGTCTACTAAGGGTACTCCAGTTTTTTAATATATCTGAAAGGGCTGTTTTATTTATGTACCAATAGTGAAAATACATTCTTAGAAATGTAAATTTGTATATGGAGAGACATTCCCCGCTGGCAACTTCAGCTGTAAACTCTACCTTCATCCTTGTGTAGTTCTTGACCCTTAGGGTCATAATTTTTCTTCACTAGCTTTTTCAAGGTAATCAAGGATCCAAACACAAGTATCTTGTACCTGGGGAAGCTCTGCTCCTATCTATAGGCATTGACAGTCTGCAGCCCTGGATTCCTGCTTGGAATTTCTGTGATTATTTATCAGTTACAAGGAGGAGAAGGAAACCCCTCACAGGGTCTGACCTGTGTGTTGTGGTTTGGGGCTGGATATGAGGTCCAAGTGTACTAAGGTCCTTGAATTTGATTAAAATACTTTACAATTTCTCTATTTTCCTCATTTAAAAAATTATGTATCCACATCATTCTGTTTTGAAAATTAAAATGATATCTTGTAAGATATGAAAAATATTTTTCATTTATTTTCATTTGAGGCAGTGTGAAATGTTGACACCCAATGACAAAGCCTACAACTTCTCTGGCTTCACTGATCTTCATAGAGCTGGCTGCATATTTGATCCATCTTCATATAAGACATAATAGCAAAGCTGGAATGGCAGAGCTGGATCTGGTCATTTCTCAGTTCAGTTATATCGTCTATCTATAAGTGCTCTGAAAGATCAAAAAGGAAATTAACTAACACTACATTCCCAAATGTGACTTTTGTTTTGGGTTCCTCAGTCTCCAGAACCATAAAGGAAATAGGCAAATTTTCATTCTCAGGACTTAGTCATTTCTCAAGTAGAGGAGAAAACCAGTCAGGATGTTAAAGAAAGGAATAAATATTTTTTTCTGGTCATTTTTATCATTTAAAAGCTTTAGTCCTTTATAAGGAAATTGACAACAATGTATGTCTTCCATGAGGTGCTAAAAAATTTCTCTTCCAGCATCAATCAACTCCCAAAGCAAATAAAAATGTTTCTTGCATAGGAGACTATGTGATCAAGAATGGATTCCTGACAGGCCACCATAAGGTACTGTAGCATCATACAGAGCCCCTTACTGGAAATGTTTCCTATTCAAATACTAAAAGTACCTGTGCAGATCACCATGAAAACGTGAAGTGATGGCACATCTTATGTGTGCAGGTATTTCCTACAGGTCACCAAGACTGACTCAATTGTATGTCTTCAGACTTCTCAGTGGTAATATAAAGCAGAAGAATAACACTGCAATTGACAGTCTGGACAACTATAAACCTGACATTGTGTCTCAATTCTGTGAGTGATCTTAGGTAATATGTTCACTCTTCTATTTCTTGGTTTTCTTTTCCTTAAAGTGAGAGCAATAGTCCTTGCTTCTGATGTTTTTTATAAGATAGGAGACAATACATACAAAATCATGCTGGGCAAAGGGCAACAGCAACAGAATAGCAAACTGAAGCCATGTCTTCAGTGGTACTAGTGTCATCATCTAATATGTTCTTCATGAAACCTTTACTAAGGAGTTACACTTCAACTTTTGCCATTCCCTAATGTCTAGATAGATCTACTACCAGTCACTAGAATTGTATTGTCTTGAAAATAGAAATGACTGACTGATGAAATCTTTGATGTAAAGACTTTAGATGCACCTGCCAATATTGCTAGACTTGATCTCCTCAACTATGTCTTCAGGAGTTGTGACAAGACCATCTCCAAGTCCCCTTTTGCTAGGATAGTTTATTATTATGATCTAAGTCTGAGGAATAGGACAGAATTTCAGATACTGAAGGCAAATTGAGTCATCCTGTTGGTATCAATACTAGTTCCAACTTTTGCTCCAAATACTTCATTTGACAAAACGTTAACAGGGTATTTGGAAAAATATTTTTGTAATCTTTTGTTGTTTTTCCTACACTGCCTGAATGAATTATACATTTTTTTCATCTCCATCTGTGACTGTAGCATTCTCTTTCTCTATGACTATGGAATCAAAGGCAAGCACCCCTGAGGCTGGAAAAATTAACCTCTGCCACATTGGGGACTGGAGTCTCTGAAATAAATGCATAAGCTCTTTTCTAAGGTTTTGCCAATACTTATCAAACCACACATTTACTCTTGGTTTTGCACTATACTGACCACTTGTGTATTTTTAATGGAAAAACTGTAAACATATTCCCAAGCTTCCCTGCTGTACACTTTGCCCAAGCCCACACCTCTCACACTTTGGATTGCCTCTCATCGGTCCACTCCTGCTTGGTACTCTGGAGAGCTTGTGTCTTCTGCTCATCCACTTGGACATAGTCTACTCTCTGCTCTTCTGAAAGAAGTTTCTGAAGTGGGGAGAACAAAAAGGTTTTAATTTCATCTTAATTTAAATGTACTTGGGCAGATTACATTTGCTTCCTCTCATCCCTATGGAAACTTCATACTATATGTGTATTATGCTTGTAAGCATCTCTTTACTTGATTTGCTTATATCAATAGGATGCAAATGGAAGTGATGTATACTGACACTAAGCATCCTGGAATTCAGTCTCTCTTCTTTTCCTCTGCCAAGAGCCCTAGATTGAAGATTGTTGTAACACAAAAGCCCTGGTCTATAATAGTCTTTCTTGGTAGCAATAGCTAAATGTTCCTTTGTTGCTGTAAGCACCTGAAATTGTCTACTTTGAATGGATAGCTTACTCAAACTGACAAATGTACCTTCTCTACTTGTTTCTCTCACTCGTCTCACTCACTGACTTTTTTTCAATGCCAGAGCAGTGTTTGGGAATGTAAAGAGACACACAAATGGAATCATTCTATACATTCTGTTTAATAGGTTGCTTTTTATCCACAAAGCAATACATTCTTAGTATGTGGATCATGACCACCCCTTGTTCAAATGCCATCATCATGAGGCTGTCAAGTGAGTGATATCAGTTAATAACTAATATCACTTATTAATCACTCAATCCTCACAGTCCTTGATGTAGGTGGCATTATTTATGATCTCTACTATATAAAGGAGGATACTACCCAATGAGGCGAAACTGTATTCATGGTCATTCACTGAGATCCACTTCAGCTTAGAGCTCCTTTCACCATTCCTTAATAACTAGATGATTAGACTATTACTTGTTTACTAAACAAGCCCTTCCTATGCCTCAAGAGCCTGTGTGTGTTTCACTCTCATTTCTGCCTAGTTTTTTTCTATAAATATTAGGGCACCAAATTTGAAGAGCATGAATATTACATGTATCTATACACAGATACCCAGAGAAAATACCCTAAAGGAAACATACTGGGATTTCATTCTTTCTGGGTATCAGGATTAAGTTTAATTTTAGCATTTTGACTATACTTGTATGTACTTCTAAGATCTAAGGAAAATACCCATGGTTTGATCAAAAAAAAAAAAAAAAAAAAAAAAAAAAAAAAAACTAAGCAAAAGTGAAATCACCTGGGAATCGTTCCTACCTGCTGCACAGGGGCTGGAGATGCTGAATTGAAGTCCAGGGCCAAATAATCCAGGCTGAATTTCTTTGTCCAAGTAAGAGCACTACTACTCGTGGAATTGACTGTTCTGTATTCTTCCTAGGAACCAACATCACAAGACTGAGATCAATAAAGAATAGTTAGGGAAAGCAAGCAGTTGGGGCTTCATCCAAGCAGCTGCTGCCAGATCATAAGAAGATGATCTGAAGTTTGTACATTTGAGTAAGAGTTGACATTTCAGCTGGGCATGGTGGTCCCTACCTTTAAATCCAGCACTTAGGAGGCAGAGGCAGGAAGATCTCTGTGAGTTTGAAGCCAGCCTGGTCTACAAAGTGAGTTCCAGGACAGCAAGGACTATACACAGAGAAATCCTGTTTGACATTTCATACACAGTACAGTAAGGAGTTAGAAGCACTTGTTGCTATATCGAGATTTTTAATATGGGTTCTGGGGATATTTCTAATCTGTTAATGTTCTTAGTTAATAGATATTCCTGGCTTATTATTTTAATAGCTCATCTTACTGAGTATTGGTAATGATAGTATTATAAAGCTTTCTCCTTCTAGCACTGTTGTAGAATATTAGTTGAAAATGTATTACATTTGCCAGAGATCCGCCTATCCCCTCAGGGATCCTGGGTCCCAGCCTACGGGATCTTTGACACCCATCACCAGTCCTCTGCTAGAAGCTGATCTTTGACCCGCATCGCTGGGCCCCTGCCTGAGGAGAGTCATCCTATAGAGCTGTAGACATCGAACTTCTGACCCACCTAAGCCCACCGGGGGGGGAGGAGACCATAGAGAGAGAGAGAGAGAGAGAGACCCCACCTGCACCCACTGGAAGAAGCAATGGGAAGACGGCAATACAAGAAAACACCTAACAACGGAAAGACAAGCAAACAGCACCAGAATCCAGGGACTCTACACCAACTAGACCTGAACACCCCAAAGCAGATGAAGCAGAAGGGAAAAACTTAAAAATTATCATCATAAAAATGATAGATGCCCTCAAACACAATGTGAGAAAATCCCTTAAAGAAGTGGAAGAAAAAACAAACAAACAAAAAATGGAAGTAATGAACAAATTTCTTAAAGAAAGTACAAAAAGCCAAGGAAAAACAAACAGGTGAAGGAAACAGTTCAAGACTTGAAAACTGAAGTAGAGACAATAAAGAAAATACAAACCGAAGGAATCTGGAAATAAAAAAACTGGGCAAAAGATGGGGAACTACAGACACAAGCATAACCAACAGAATACAAGAGATGAAGAGAGAATCTCATATGCTGAAGATAAACTAGAGGAAATAGATTCATCGAGCAAAGAAAATCGTAAATCCAACAAATCCATAACACAAAATATCCAGGAAATGTGGGACACCATGAAAAGGCCAAACCTAAGAATAATAGGCATAGAGGAAGGTGAGGAAGCCCAGCTCAAATGTGCCGAAAACATATTCAACAAAATCATCGAGGAAAACTTTCCAAATCTGAAGAAGGACATGCCCATGAAAGTACAAGAAGCATACCGAACACCAAATAGGCTGGACCAAAGAAAAAAGACCCCTCGACATATAATAATCAAAACACCTAGCATACAGAATAAATAAAGAATATTAAGAGCAACAAAGGAAAGAGGACAGGTAACATATAAAGGCAGACCTATCAAAATTACACCTGACTTCTCCATGGAAACCCTCAAGGCCAGAAGGTCCTGGATAGATGTTCTACGAAAACTAAGAGTCCACAGATGCCAGCCCAGACTACTGTACCCAGCAAAAATCTGAATCACTATAGGCGGAGAAAACAAGATATTTAATGACAAAACCAGATTTTCACAACACGTTTCTACAAATCCAGCTCTACAGAAAAGTTCTGGGATCGATATGTAAAATAAAAAAGAAATTAAAAAAGAAAATGTATTACATTCATTTATACTGTGGAATATTCGTTTGCATGATGCAAAGATGTGTTGCATTCTGCCCAACCAGTCTTGCAGTGTCCAAGTCCTACCTCCACCCATGGGAAGAGGTAAACATGGGCCTGTCTGTTTCTGGCTTGCCTTCTGGGCCCCTGTTCTGAGGCTTCTGAGAGCTGGGAACTGTGTACAGGGTAACCAGTCCCAACAGACCAGCTCATCCAGTGTCTGCCAACATCTTAGTCTTGCCTTCACCCACTGGAAAAGTAGAACCATCGTAGTACTGGACTTGCTTGCACCCACAGGAAGAGAACCTTGGTCCTATATCCACCAGGAGAGGGAGAGAGCCCACTGCTTGAATTTTTTGTTTGTTTTTTTTCTTCCATTTCTTTAAGGGACTTTCTCATTACCCCTTTAAGGGTCTTTATCATCATCATAAAGTTTTTTAAGGGTCATTCTCTTCTGCTTCATCTGTGTTGGGAAGTTAGGTCTTGCTGCTGTGGAGTCCTTAGACTCTGGTTGCGTCATATTGATATTTCCGTTGTTGACTGTGTTCTTATACTGTTGTCTACCCATCCCTTCATCCAGTTCGTACCAGTGGGCTCTCTCCCTCTCCTGGTGGATATAGGACCAAGGTCCTCTTCCTGTGGGTGCAAGCAAGTCCAGTACTATCTTATCAGACCACCATGTTTAAAGTTGGAATTCAACAACACAAATTGCAGAAACACTACAAATTCATGGAAACTGAACAATTCACAATTGCACCATTCCTGGTCAAGAGAGGAATAAAGAAAAGAATTAAAGTTTTCCTAGAATTCCATGAGAATAAAGACACAACATACCCAAACTTACAGGACACTTTGAAAGCAGTGCTAAGAGGAAAGTTCATTGCACTAAGTGCCCACATGAAGAAACTGGAGAATAGTCACACTAGAGAATTAACGGTGCAACTGAAAGCTCTAAAACAAAAAGAAGCAAACTCACCCTGGAAGGGTAGAAACCAGGAAATAATCAATTTGAGGGCTGAAATCAATAAAGTATAAACTAGGAAAACTATAGAAAGAATGAAAGTAACAAAGAGTTGGTTCTTTTAAAAAATCAACAAGATAGACAAACCCTTATCCAAACTAACCAAAACGCAGAGAGAAAGAGACATGAAAATTAACAAAATCAGAAATGAAAAGGGGGATATAACAACTGACACTAAGGAAATCCAGAGAATCTTCACGTCATACTTTGAAATCCTGTACTTCACAAATTTCAAATATTTAAAGGAAATGGACAAATTTCTGGATAGCTATCACTTACCAAAATTAAATCAAGAACAGATAAGCAATATAAATATACTTACAACCCCTAACAAAATAGAAGCTGAAATCAAAAGTCTCTCAAGCAAAAAACCCCAGGGCCAGATAGTTTGATTGCAGAATTCTACCAGAAATTCATAGAAGAGCTAATACCAATATATCTCAAAGTATTCCCCACAATAAAAGCAGAAGGTTCATCGCCAAACTCTTTCTATGAGGCTACAATTATCTTGGTACACAAGCCACACAAGGACACAACTAAGAAAGAGAACATTGATGCAAAAATACTCAATAAATTCTGGCAACTCAAATCCAAGAACACATCAGAGAAATCATCCACCATGACCAAGTAGGCTTCATCCCAGGGTTGGAGGGATGGTTGAACATATGGAAATCTATCCATATGATCCACCATATAAACAAACTGAAAAAGAAAAAATCATATGAGCATCTCACTAGATGCTGGAAAAGCCTTTGACAAATTCCAACACCCTTTCATGATAAAGGTCTTGGGGAGATCAGGGATAACAGGAACATACCTAAACATAAGAAGAGCAATATACAGTAAACCAACAGCCAACATGAAATTGAATGGAGAGACGCACAAGGCGATTCCTCTAAAATCAGGAAAAAGACAAGGCTGCCCTCTCCATATCTCTTCAATATTGTACTTGAAGTTTTAACTAGAGCAATAAGAAAACAAAAAGAGATCAAGGTAATAAAAATTGGAAAGGAAGAAGTCAAACTTTCACTATTTGCAGATGATATGCTAGTTTACCTGAGTGACATGAAAAACTGTACCCGGGAACTCCTACAGCTGATAAACACCTTCAGCAAACTAGCAGGATACAAGATTGACTAAAAAAAAAATTGTAGCCCTACTATATACAGATGATAAATGGGCTGACTTCCCTGACTTCAAGCCGTAATATAGAGCTATAGTCCTGAAAACAACTTAGTATTGGCACAAAAATAGACAGGTAGACCAATGGAATCAAATTGAAAACCCTAATATTAACCGACACACCAATGAACACCTGATTTTTGACAAAGAAGCTTAAATTGCACAATGGAAAAAAGAAAGCATCTTCAGCAAATGGTGCTGGCATAAGTGGATGCTGGCATGTAGAAGACTGTAGATAGATCCATATCTATCACCATGCATAAAACTTAAGTCCAAATGGATCAAAGACCTCACATAAATCCAGCAACACTTTATTTCTTAGAAGAGAAAGTGGGAGGTACTTGATGGGAGATGTCATTCTGGAAATATGTTTCTCTTATTGGTTAATGAATAAAGCACTGTTGGCCAATAGGAAAGCAAGATGGGCAGGACTAGGAGACAACGAAGATTCAGGAAGTAGTAGGGAGGAGTTTCAAGATGTAGGACCAACAGCGTAGAACTCTGGGCTCTCCGGTAAGATAAGACCATGTGGAAATACTTAGATTAATAGAAATGGGTTAATATTTAAGACAGAGCTAGCCAATAAGAAATGTTATTAACAGGACAACAGCATTATATCTAATACAATGTCTTTCTGTGTTATTTGGTGCTGTCGTGGCAGTGGGACCAGGCCAGAACAAATTGGTATAGGAGATTGCTTCCTGAACATAACACCAGTGACACAGACACTGAGATTGACAATTAATAAATGGGACCTCCTCTAATTAAGAAGCTTCTGTAGGGCAAAGGACTCAATCAACAAGACAAAATGGTAACCCACAGACTGGGAAAAGATCTTCACCAACCCCACATCTGACAGAGGGTGGATTTCCAAAATATATAAAACACTCAAGAAGCTAGTTATCAGAATACCAAATAATCCAATTAAACAGTGGGGTACAGAACTAAATAGAGAATTCTCAAGAAAGGAATCTAAAATGGCCGAAAGACA